TTAGTCCATATTTGACCCAAAGTTGGGTTGAAACAACCCAGCATTTTTTAGAGTGTAAAATAGAATTAAGATGCAAACTGAAAATATAAAATGTGCAACTAAGCCAAAATATTTAATACTATTATATATAAGAAATGTATAAATTAATAGATTTAAATATTACAATTATTTCTAGACTAATATATGTAACAACTATTCCATTATATTTCTTAACAATACAGAAACTATTACAAGACGCTAATGCAGAACAGCTCAGGTGGAAGCCAATAAATGTTCTCACCTGGTCTCTGGTATCCCATAGTGAATCGGTGGTATCCATGGAAACAGTGTAGCCTATGGCAGTGTCCCAAATGATGCCAATAGCCAGAATAATAGGCCAGATCAGCTGCATGAAAATTAAGTCCAATACACACGAGACAAAACATGAACCAGCCTGTCATGATTTACCAGATACTGAATCATAAATATCTGACGTGTCTATGATTGTAAAAGCAGCAAATGTCAAATGAAAGTTCAAGCAGTCTGAGAGAGACGGACTGAAACAGCAGGTTTTATTCCCTCCCTGCCCTGACTCACTCTCTCCTCCTTTCATGTCTGCATCTCATGTACTTCACAACACTTATGCATGAATGCAATCAAAATGCAAATTTTGAGTGGAATTAATTCTGCTGTTCTAATTTTGTCTACCATGAAGTCATATAAAAGGATTATTATTGTATGGCTCTCTAGACTACTTGATTCTGATTAGATAAATGCTGAATTCAGTTGTCCAATATTTTTCTGATAATCCTGTTCCTTTACATAATTAAAATTGGTCAATTATCTTATGATTTTATCACAAAATATGACAATTTGTTGCCATATATACCTGTGCATGAAACCAAACCACCACAGTATATTCTGGCATTCAAATACATATAAAATATGTGAAGCAGGATTTGGTTTAATATGAAAGAGTTACAAGATCTAAACCATCTGTAGGATGAATACAAATATCTGAAACATCAGAAAGATTAATAAATCTCGCAGAGGCATGTCTCAGATGTATCTATCTATCTATCTATCTATCTATCTATCTAAGTCACAAGTTAAAGTCATAACATCTGTTCTCATGCACTAATGACAGTAACAGTGATAACTGACATCTAATTTGTTCAGTTCAGTTGTTCCTCTACATGTACTATCTGTTAAAATGCTGAATAAGAACACTTAAGCAAACGCAATCAGCAACTGGTGTTATTTTGTGCAGTTGTCCTGAACATTGGAAAAGATCGATCATGCCAAAGCATCTCTGCTGAAAACCAGACAACCCACAGTTAAAAAAATTTGCTGGCAAATCTGACATTTCAGGCTTCCAGAAAAAGATTCCAGTTTCTTTGATTGCCTTCTAAGACATCTCCTGGAAACCAAATTCTGGTTGATAAATGAAGGTTTGCAATGCTACCAGTTGTTGAGGATGTCTGTATTTTGCAAATCTGTCTCTGCAAACGTTTTGCTAAATAGGTTGATTATTATGCATCTAGATTCTGTTCTAGATTTCCAAGTGACATTCTGTTCCGCTTCTCCAAGTAGGAAGTTGTAAATTCTGACTTTCCTAGCTGAATGGAACAAACAGGAAATAGAACCCACATGCAATGAGTTTGACTGGCATTTTGGTGAGAGCGCCATCTTTGCTGACAGTATCTGTCTGATGAAAAAGCATGAATTGCAGAGAAACAGAGCGAGACAGAGAGCAGATGGGACTCACCCTGGCAGGTCTTGCCATCCTCTCTGAGCTCCTGACCTGCGGGACACTTGCAGTAGAAGCTGCCGATGGTGTTACAGCACAGAGCTTCACACCCTCCATTGGTCTCTTCACACTCGTTTACATCTGACAGCGAGAGAGAACAAACACATTACAGTCTGAACTACAGATGCAACAGTTTGGACAATCATTTCCAAATGTTTACAATTTGGAGACACGTGAACATATTCAAACAGACCAATTATGAAACTTCACCCCTATATGCATGAGGGTGCATTATGAACAACTGACAGGATTGTGTGCTAAACTAAACATCACTGTTACTATTGCTAAAAGTATATATTTATATACGTTTTAAAATAAAATAACAAATAACATTTCAGGTTTATTATTAATGTTTTTTTGTATGTAGAGACAGACTCCAAAAAGACTCACAAACTCGCTGCATAGGTCATCTGAGGTTTCAACAAGTGGGTATTGGTGGAAATTCATTGCCATACTAAAACATATTATACTTTTTCCATCTTTCCGTCTTAAAAATGTCCCAACATAGTCATTATAAAAAGAGGTTGTGCCCATGACAGTCTGCTGCCAATGAATAAATCATATGTTTAATGAAAGACACATTTAGCTGTTCTTCACTTTAACAGGATTTGACAATAATGTTTTTTTGATTATTTAGTTGAAGCTACTGAAATCTGGACCGCCAGTTGAGTTTCATGGGAAAGTGCTCATATGAAAACTGTCACCTTGGCCGTTTGTCAGTTTCCATATCTTTTTACTCTATGAGCACATTGTTGCTTGTACGGTCCAAGGGTTTGGTGCATTCTGGGTATGAGAAAGTACAAGCACACGTGCATATTACCTGTAGAAATAGTAAAAGCATTATGCGTTTCCAATTATATTCAAAGATTCTCCTTAAAGGCATAGTTCACCGAAAAATTAACTCAGGTCATCCAAAATGTAGGTGACTTTTTTTCTTCGGTAGGACAGTAAAGACGATTTTTGGCTGAAACCGTGGTCCTCGGTGATTCATAAAATGCAAGTCAGCGGCTTTCCGTTTTTGAGAATAAAAAAAAGCATATCAAGGAGCACAAAATTAATACCTGTGGCTCCTGACGATATATTGAAGTCTTATGAAGCGAATCGATCGGTCTGTGCAAGAAACTGAATATTATTTACAACATTATTACCTGTAATCTGCATGATACTCAATCAAAACTCACTTTCGGTGACAGTCACTCAAAATGAGCCAAAATACCGGCGTATCAGATCCTATGATGAACTCATTCAGCGCTCCAGTTCCTCCAACAGTCACTGAACTGAGAAAACAGTTCGACCAAAGACCGATAATCCCGTGATCTGCACATGCATGAACCGAGCACTTTAATGAAGTTTTTATGGTCTCTCACTGTTTATGTAAAAAGGTGAGCTGATGAAGACAAGTTTATTCACTTTATATGCTTTAGACATGTAAAACATCCATGTTTCACATCATTATTGGGTGCATAAATAATGTAATTGCGTATACATTATGTTATTGTGTGATTACGTAAATGAACTAGTGAATTGAAGCAGTTTATAGAAACGAACTGCCCGAAAGAACTAGTTCATGAAAAAGAATCGAATTTCCCCGTTTGCCTGAGGCTCTGGATTACATGTTGTAAATAATGTTCAGTTTCTTGCACAGACCGATCGTTTCGCTTCATAAGACCTCAATATATCATCAGGAGCCACAGGGATTAATTTTGTGCTCCTTGATATGCTTTTTTTATTCTCAAAAACGGGCAGCTGCTGACTTGCATTTTAAGAATCACAAACCACGGTTTCAGTTAAAAATCTTCTTTACTATTCAACTGAAGAAAAAAAATCATCTACATCTTGGATGGCCTGAGGGTGAGTAAATTAAGAACAAATTTTCATTTCTGGGTGAACTATCCCTTAAAGACAATTTAAAGGAAGTCCATAACCTCCCTCATTATAAAAAAGGAGCAGTAAGTGTTTTCTTCCCATGTCCAACAAAACCACTTCTTTTTTTCCAGTGGACACAAATCACCTAAATGGGTTGGAGAGGGACGTTTGGCATTTGATTGGCTTCAAACCACTTTAAGTTAATCAGAAAAAAATGAAATAGCTGGAAAATTGTGTCCTTCATCAGGCCAACCAACCTCACAGCGAGAGGCTTCGCCATTCATTCCGGTTTTAATGCAGATGTTTAACCAACCTCCCAATTACACCCCATATATCCAGCTCTCACACTCAAACACATGGAGATGTTTATGAGAAAATTGTTTTGTCGGTTTCCCAAAACATTATTTCAATAAAATCCTCGCCACAACAAATTGGCCCCTGAAGAGCCGAGCGATGTGTGCTGGAGGAGGAAATAAACATAATGAATCAGTGAGTGGAGCTGCGGCCGGAGGAGATCACACCATTACACATGTCATATCTCTAGCGTTTCATTTTCAAAACTCATTAGTCAAATAGTCAAATTCATTAATTATTCATTCATTTTAATGTAAAATTTAGTATTGAACATTAACTAATAAATACAGCAGAAGTTTTGTTCATTGTTCATGTTAATTATTGCATGAACTAATGGCTAATGTCTACAACCATATTCTAAAGTGTTACCGACATTTATTCATCACTAACTAGGTTAAAAGTACCAAAGAAGGATATTTGGTGAAGGATGACAACAAAGAATATGAGATGGATACAATTATCCAATAAAATGTTGGAAAATGGGTGATGCTTCCTTCACTCCTGCAATTAGATGACACTGTCAACATGTTAAAACAATCTAAGTCTTCCATTATATTCAGCCACAATGAAAATAAAATGATCGACAGGTGAGTAATTCATAATGTCAGCCTGCACATACAATCATCTACATCCAGACTGAAACATCAACAAGGAAATGGAGACGAACCACATTCTTTCAGTAAGAGGTCATGACCCCTTTCATGACCCGAGGCCGACCTGCTGGTCAAGGACTTGAAAGAGACACCCTGCGGGAATGGCAGCGTTTTCTTCCGTCAGGGGTCCTGCTTTAGGCCACACATCTGCACGGAGACGGAGACATGGGGTTTGGAGGAGGGTGTACAAACATAGCTCATTTAATAACCGACACAGTATTCATCTCACTATCATCACCTCATAATCATTTGATCAACCAACGGGTATTGGGTAAAATGGCAGTGGGTGGAGTCACACAGACCAAAACAAAAACACACATTCTGATATGGAATGCACATTTCAAAGTAAAACAACTGGCTGTAGCATTGTTTTTTTTGGTTAAACAAGTATGTGAACTTAGCATGTTTCCTAAATATCTGCAAACATATGGTATTTTTATGCTTTACTAAAGTCAAAACATCTGATCTTACCTTTTAACATTCTTATACAATTGGGCTCAGACGAGAAGACATCTCATTGGGGCCAATAACCTCATCTGTAATGGCTATTTTGACTATGAAGGATTTTTTTTCTTCCCTTTTACGAAGGACTATTGCTGCCCTAATGGAAATGTAAGTAAAACTATTCCAAAATCGTATTGTCCGAACCCCCACTGGGAATGAAATATAGATCTTAGATATATACAGAGTTCTGGCATGAAACTCTAGATGGCGCAGTCCGATAGGTCTAACTCAATCTGACCTATGACATCATTATCAGATGGCACAGCTGATT